ATGGCAGACACGGGGCGACCAGTGCTTTAAATTGAACGACGTCTGAAGTGGGAAACTTGAAGGCATCGAATCGCGCCTCCAGTATCTGTCCGTCGCCGTCAGACTTATCCATTGCACCCATTATTAGCGAGTCTGTGGGACAGCCCATACTGTCGATCAACACTATTTCCGATAGATCTGCCCCATCGATGGCCACCAATTCCCGGACAAATATCTCATACGGACCTGTAGTTCACACGTTAAGCAAATACAAATTGCAATTAATATTTTGAATTTTTTATGTATCCCTAACAACACTATTATATGTTTATTAAGATATAACTAAACAAAATTTAAATCATTTATCAGAATTACTACAAATGCTTGACTTTTATGTTTAAAACTTTTGTTAACTCAAGTAAGAGACCACCCGTTGAAGCACTAAATTCCCATTAAATTTAATTCAATGTTTAACCAATGATTTAAAAGCATTTAAAAAAGAAAATTATTAAATAAATTCCGTTATAATCTGTATTTTAAGTTAACTTTGATAAGAATTTATTATTTAACATTTTATATAAGAAAAATTCACTACTGTTTCCAACATTTGATGACAACAATCAAAAGATTCAATATTTAAGGAAAAATATTTTTAAAATGATGACATGTTTTACTGTATGGTTAATTTAATTGGACTTAAACAACCATTATAAAAGTCCTATTAAATACAAATCTAATCGTATGATTCTCGGGTTAAATGAATTGAATTTTTATTACTTCATTAACGATATAAATGCCGAAATATTTGCTTTTACAAGGACTTCAATAACCCGCTCTCACAATAAGGCGCTGAGTGCGAGGGAGAAAGACGGGGGAGTAACTGAATTGGGTATGTAATGTAATGTATGTGTGGGTGTTATCGTAGGTTATTATTGCTCCCAGCGCCTTATTGTGAGAGCGGGTTATTGATGTCCTTGTTACTGAAAATTATATCTGAAATTATTTAAAAAGAGCTTAAAAATTGTTGTAAATCTGATTTCTATAACCCGTATTATATAAAAATAAGTGAAGTTATAAAATTGTTGTAATGTATGATATTTTGTAAGCATTTCGTGAGAAAAATGTATGAAAACTCACTCGACTTTTCCAGTATAGAAAACCTCAACAAAAGTGAATCTCCGACTTGTGCTGAAGAGATATCACTTCTGAACAAATCTGTGATTTTCATCGTAACGTTCGGCGAACTCACGGTTTCTGAATGACTGCCACTCGTATCGACGTCTCTGTAAACGTTCAGAATATGGATAACAAATATATTATAAACTTTTATTAAAAATGGTTTTAATCGGTTAAATCTAACCAATATTAATTTGAAATAATAAAACAATGGTTTTAAAAAAGAATCAAAGATATGTAGGTGTGAACAAAGTGTACGACTTTTAATACATGGTAAAAGATCTCCCATATTATGATAAGGAAAGGCATTACAAGCACTTAATCTGAATATTCAAATGAAGTAAAGTCTCATCGAGTAAATCAAAAAAGGTTGAGGTCATCGATGGTAAGAAAAGATGAGCTAAATTTAATTTCCTTAAAGTAATTAAAAAACGATGAATGACTTCAAAGATAATAGAAATTTATATATCCATTGAAAACATAGAAGAATGCAAACATTCATAGGAAGACAAAATCAAGTATTGTTTTTGTGTGAGAAATGTTCACAACATTAACTGTTTTAAAAGTTAATTTAAATTTCTAATCAGTGTTTTGACGTGTATTTTGTTAAATAATAACCATATTATGAAAGAATGAAAATATATTTTGCATAAAACGGTTGCAAATTATTTTCCGATTTAATAATATGTGAATTAAAATTAATGAATGAATCAATTATAGACTCAAATATGAAGTACAGTATAAGTCAATTGATTTTAATAGCGTGTAAAAGAGTGAGTAAATGGGACTCAAAGGATATGCAATTAATGGAAAAAAGTCACTCATGATATCATAATTAAGATATATTTCTCTTAAATACAGTGAAAAATTGAGCAATTTTTCATATTTTATCTGATTTTAAGACGAGATGAATCTCATGGAAGTAAGAGAACAATATGCAAATCAGAAGTTTGTAATTACAAATACCAAACCCTAAAACATTACTAATTTATAAATAATTTCTTATTAAAAAATTACATAATTATTTGTATTATTAAATAATTAGAAACGACATAACATTTGAGAAGATAAAGAGTGGGAAGAAAAAGAAATATTNGATAATGAAAGTCATATTAAAAACAAGTTATGCTTCGCTCACCCGTCGACCGCCAGATTGACATTATTTGAAATGCTTTTGTTTGAGAGATCGTATTTGCAGTGAACATTGAGCAGTAGGTCCTGAGTGGTGACAATCATGTCGTGATGTTGTATAACAATATCATTAGTGAACTGTCCTTTGCTTTGCTGTTTAACATCACACTCAACGTCGTTGTACTTCATCTTAATCTCAAACTCCAGACTATTGCTGATGTCTTGAACGCAAATGTTTGGCTTAGATTTGGCATAAATTTTTCCATCAAATAATTTTGTTGTCCGAACTTTTGCCACCATTTCTCGTGAACGACAAAGAATTGTCACTAAAAACCATGAATAAAGAATCAAAAATTAAAAAATAAAATTAAATGAGTAATTCATTGCAAAATAAAACAATAGACAAACCATTATAACAGGACACGAGTTCATAAGTGGTGGCACCGGGTATCTCAATGTATGGGTTCTCGATGTGAGACAATGAATTCTTATCCAAATGACTCGTCCGACAGACACTATTAGTCGGGTCTCCGAAATCAAATGAATGGCACCGATAGGGACTACTCAGACATTTCTCTTTACATTCATCGATTGTTTTTACATTTTCGTAGACGGAATCAACAGTTTTCAGTATTTTCCCACTTATTGGCCGAAAATCGCACAATTTCTTTGGCTCTAAAAGTTGGTACAAATATTGTTAATAAGACATAACAACAGTTAATATTAATTTTAAAACTCTAACCTTCGATACAATTGTTTTCCATATAATCGATACTACCAGAAGACGGGCCATACTTTCTGGACTTAAGGCTATTATAAGTGATGCTATGTCTGTCCATATCGGAAAGGGAGCACTCGTTGACATCGGAATCATAATTAACTGATCGGCACTCGAAGTCATTCTCGTTGAGACACATTTGCATGCATTCCAAACGTGTCATTACTTTAACACTCTTTTTGCTGTATTTCTTCATCTCAAAGCCCTTAACCCTCTCGAAAGCCCAGCCCTTATTGCAAACGCGCTTCTTATCTGCAGACAAAAAATACGGGCCATATATTTGTTAATGTGTTTTATAATAGGGTTTGTAATTTTTTTGTAACAAAGTTTTCATGAATGCGATGAAAAAGTTAGTTTTATATACCGTTTAAATTATATCGTTATAACGTGTATAATAAGGAAAGATAAAAATGCATTATAATTACCCGAAAGGCAAATCTTTTGCGCAAAGATAGTGAAAACTGGATATTGTGATTGGGCTGAGGGGTCGGTCTGTTCGCCGGGTAGTGTCCGCAACAAAACGCATAAACCGGTCTCAAAGTTGACGGCTTTGCACGTGTTATTCTTGAGACACACGTCCATACAGTCGGTGAGGTGTAAAATGCCGGGCATTGTAGTGACCGAATCCGACGGATTGGTGAACACCTGACCCGTCAACAGCTCAA